CTAACAAAAGACTTCTTGGGTTTGGGAAAGGAGTATGCATTTGTGTGTTCGAGGGGAATTATTTGGTCCAGAGAGTAAGTTTTTAGAAATATTTATTTATTTTTATTTTATGTGTGTAAGTGTTTGACTTCATGTATTTGTGCACCAAGTGCACGCAGTACCCTTAGAGGCCAGAAGATGGCGTTGGATCCCCTGGAACTGGAGTTACAGACATTGATGAGCAACCATGTGGGTGCTGGGAACCAAACCCTAGTCTTTTGCAAGAAGAGAAACACTTCTCCAGCCATGTATGTATGTATGTATGTGTGTGTGTATGTGTGTATGTCTCATTTAAGACTGTGTCTGTGACAATGCCTCTCCATCACATGAAGGGAGATTCAAGATAAATATTAGAAACAGCCTACTGGCCATGTGGCAGTGAGACCAGGATATGCTATCACAGGAAATTACCTAATGTTATTCACCAACAATCGAAAGATAAGATCGTAACAAAACAGATGGCTTTGAATGCTTCCAGTGCCGAGTGAGCTACTGAAACCACAACGGTCAGAGACACTCAGTCTTTTGTTTGCAGGATTTTTTTTTATAGAAGATTGGCTAAGAGTCTGGACCCCATGGCCAGGCTGGCTGGCAGAGGTGCTGGCTCTGTTACAGGAGTTATGAGCTATGTGGCCTACGACAGGCTACCTAAACTCTGTCCAAGTTTACATATTTGTAGAACAATAATAAAGTAAATGTTCCTCCGTCAGCTCTGAGAACTAAAGAGAATGGTGTAGCTTAACAATGTGAGCTACAGAGCAAGTGTTCTGTGTAGATCTCCATAAGCAATAACAGCTCCTGTCTTACATGTGCTCATTTAATTCAGATAGGCCTAGAGCACCATGGCAGTCAAGAAAAGAGTTGCTTATTAGTACTTCAAACGTTTTTATTACATGTAGTTACTTTGTGTGTGTGTGTGTGTGTGTGTGTGTGTGTGTGTGTGTGTGTGTGTGTGTGTGTTTATATGTATGGGTATTTTGGAATATTGTTTTAACTGGGCAAAGATGTGTTATATTTGTTTATGTTGCAGAAAATTACTTTAAGTGTGTAAAGGTGTGTTACTATTTTTTATGCTGCATTTATTTAACAATGTAAGGATACATGTTTAATTATGTAAAGATGTGTTGGATCTGTTTCAACTTGACTGCCTAAGCCACCTGATTGGTCTAATAAAAAGCTGAAGGACCAATAGCTAGGCAGGAGAGGGATAGGCAGGGCTACCAGGCAGAGAGAATAAGTAGGAGGAGAAATTTAGACTCAGAAGAAAGAAAAGAAGAAGAGAAGAAAGAGGAGGAGAGAATGAAGGACACATCCAGAGCAAGAAACCAGGCAGCTGCCAGACAGACAGACATAGAGAAGCAGTGAAAGTAAAATATACAGAAGTAAGAAAGGTAAAAAGCCCCGAGGCAAAAGGCAGATAAAGAGAAACAGGTTAACTTAAGTTAAAAGAGCTAGCCAGAAAAGAGCTAAGCTAGGCCAAGCATTCAAAACTAAATGAGTCTCTGTGTCATGATTTGGGAGCAGGTTGGTGGCCCAAAAAAAAAAAGTCTGCTACATTCGGGGTGTATGCCATGATGGGCACGTGGAGGTCAGAGGTCACCTTTTAGGAATGGGTTCTCTCCATCATGTGAGTCCCAGGGACTAAACTAGGGGTGTCGGGCTTGGCTGCAGGGGCCTTTAGAGTAGTTTATTTTCACGGAGGAATTATCTGAAGTTGTCACAGAAGCCATATTTAAAGGGACCCACAGAAAGTGTCAGACTTGGTCAGGTGAAGCCGAACAGTGAGTCTGTGAGGAAAAGCCAGGGTTTGAAAGGGCACCATGGTGAGCTCCCAAACGAAGATGGAGCTATCTGGACTGTGAATTGGTGGCTGGAGACAGAATCCTGCCTTGGAATTTACACTTGCTCTTTCTCTAGGGAGCTATCACAGTGTTCAAACCCACTAGACCTTATAAAACCCGAGTCAACAAGGAGCCTCCTCCAGCCCCACTGCCCATCACCAGGGGAAGCAGCTCTTTTCCCTGGTTTCAGTGACGTCACCTTCCACTCCAGCTCTGTTTTCTCCAGTCCCGGTTACACCTGTCAATCATCCCCAGGTTCCCGCTTTTCACATCCTCTCCTCACTTCTTGTCTTCAGGGCCGGCTTGAGCCAAGCGCTGAAGCTGTCCTTGGTTCTTCTAGCCAGGCAGTATGACCTTCCCAAGACCCCCCCAGAGCGCCGTAGGTTCTCCCAAGGGAACATTTATGGAGTTTGCTTATTTTTTTTAAAATTTTTTTTTAGCATACAATGCAAAGGTAAACAAGCCACAGCACCAGGAATGCCTGTGAAATGTCTTCAGTTCTCACACAATCCCTAGAAGACAGCATGCTGTCACCAACGCTGAAAATGGCTAAATGAAAGTCTTAGCAATTTTTAATTATGTAGAAAATAAGCTATCAAGCCTGGCATGGCGTTGTATGCCTGTGCTTCCAGCACTTGGGAAGTGGAGGCCATAAGGTTCAAGATTATCTTCATCATGATATAATTCCGCCCCCCCCTCAAAAAAATAAAACATTAAATAGTTGTACTTTTGTTAAAGATTACACAAGGCTAATTGACTGATTAAAACGTCAGTGACCATGAAGAGCGGGAGTTTCCAGCCCAGGATTATTTATCTTGCCTTATCTTTAGCTTCCAAAATAGATACTTGTTAACCACCTCTGTGTTTGACTTAATATCCTTGTGGTTTTTTCAGTTAAAAATCCCCTTTTCTGGAATGCATAAACACACGCCCTCACCTCCAGCAACCCGAAGGCTTAGAACACTATCAGATAACATCTGCGGCTGTAACAGAAACCTCTATGCTTTGCCCTCACCCGACTACCCGATCTTTCTACCACTGTACTTTAACTCTGCCAACGCCTTGATTCCTAACTTTCTTTGTTCCGTTACCACCGAAAGTTTTGGGAACCGCTGTTGCATTAGAACGTGGCATTTGAGGTAACCTGAACCTGCGCTTCCGGATCATGGTCACTGGTATTCCTCTCCAGGATAAATGATCTCTTCTTCCATTTGAGATGGGCGCGGTGTTTTTTTTTATCAGCAAAGGCTGTCCTGGCTGTTTGAGACCTGGCTGCAAAAACTCATTAAAGAAAGAAAGGAAGAATAAAAGTGGCCAGGAAATCAGGGGAAGGGGGTATTGAAAAACTGTAACAGTCGGAAGAGGAGGTCTCAGGACTCACCAAAAAAATCAGTTCCTGTGACGTCATCTTATGTTCTCTGCATTCATTGTTAGCTATTTTAACTTGGGTTAATTTCTTATTACATTTGCTGATTAAGTAAATGAATATTTGAAAGCATATGACAAAGGCTCAAACCGAGACCCAGATACCATATTCCTAAGGTCTGCAGTAAATGGGAACTTTCAACAAGAGAGAAGAGCGCTCATTCCAAGAGACTGGCCTCTGACCTGCAGATGCAATCCACCTTACTGGGACCATATGCACCCCAGGACACATTCACTTGTTCATGGCATGTGAGCACCATGTTTCTTCCAGATAAAGACAGGCAAGTGCTGGTCATTTCCCTCATGAACAGTGGCCCCATCCTTTGCCCTAGGCTCAGCTTCTGCAGAGAATGACTCCTCTACTCTGCCCATAGTGCCATGGTGCCATCATAGTGCCACCAGTACCTACCCATGGGGAAGATGTTGCCTTCGTCCATACACCTTTTGCACGTGTTCTTATAATCTTATAAACCACCTCCTCATTCTGACTTGAATGGCAGTTGGTTGTTTATATACATGCTCCTGCTTACTGTGCCCTGTTGTATATACACTCATACCCACACACACCTCACCTCCCAACCCACACACCCCCACCCCACACTCACACATACCCCACACCTATCCACACACACACACACACACACACACACACACACACACACACACACACTCATACATGCTCCACACTCCTCCACACCCCACAATCACACACAGCTTACCCCCTACTCCACCCCATACTCACACATACCCCACACCTACCCCCACACACACTCATACATATTCCATACACCTCTACACCCCACATCCATCCACACACACACACCCACTCACCCACCCACCCCCACACACCCCACACATACCCACACTCACACCCACCCATACACCCACACCCACACCACATACTCAATATAAGCTCCTAGGAGCAAGGGGAGGCATCTTTCTCAGGTTTCACAGGGCCTTTCCTATTGGACTTTCTGTTCAAAGGAGGAAGAAACCTCCTTTGGTTTGGGAGAGTAAATGAATGTCAAGTGCTGTGTAAATGCTTCTTGACCGTTTCCACATAGTAAAAGCTATAAAAAAGAAAGAAAGAAAGACAATTAAAAAGAAAGAAAGAAACCTAGAGGAATTAGGATACTTACACTGCTTACCTTGTATTATAAGATGCAATTAGGTGGCACCATTTCTAAAGCCTTTAATTGAGGTCTGAGGAAAGAATGCTTGTGTGTCCCTTTTTAATAAAGCATTTACTTCAAGAAGGGCATGAAACAAAGGAAGAAAAGAGAACGTGGTTCCAGAATCTGTTCTGCGGTTTTTAACTCCATGCCTGAGATGTTTCTATAAACAGGGCGTGTTGCGGGAGCCCCGGTGAGACACAAACTTGGACTTAGTGAATTCTGTGAGAAGTAACATAGGAACATACTGGTGTTGATGAGATCTTGACGTAGCACAATGAAGGTTACAGATACCGAGTTTCTTTTTAATATGACATTTTATTAATTCTTTGAGAATTTTATACATATTTTCATCATACTCGCCTCTCCATTTATTTATCCCCCAACTCCTCTCATCCATCTTACCCCTCTCGATCTTATGTCTTCTTTTCTTTATAACCCAAAGAGTACATTTTATGCTGTCTACATATGTGTGCATGTCAGACTAGCCTTTAGAGCTTGTTCAGTCTACCATGGGCCACACCCTCAAGGAAAAGCAACTGTCCTCCTCCAGAGCTGCCAGCCGTCCACAGCTCCTCAGGTAGGGGTAGGCGCTTGTGAGCCCCTCCCTCTCCAGTCTGGAGTGTTGACTATTTTGATCTTGTGCAGGCAGCCGCAGCTGCCGTGAGAGTGTGAGTGGAGGAGTCCTGTCATGGCTGGAAGACACCGTTTCAACCCTGTCCTCTTCACTCTGCCTCTCAGTCTCTTCTGACCCTTCTTCCATGGTGGTACCTGAGTCTTGGGAGAGGGGAATGTGATAAGTGTGACATGGATGTTCCACCTGTGGCTGAGCAATCCATAGACACTTATTCTCTGTATTTGGCCAGTTGTAAGATTCTGTGCTGACTGCCTTTCACTGCACAATAAAACTTCCCTGATGAGTTCTGAGAGCTGCAGAGACCTGGTTGTTGTTTTTTTTTTTTTAACTGAGCTGACTTTTTATAAAATGTGGGGGATTCTTAGAAAAGGCGGGCCAGGTGCTTTTTAGTTTTCTAATCTAGATGTCAGCTGGTGGGTGCGAGCAGGCACTTAGGCAGCAACATTGTGCACTGCCTCTGAGAGAATGTGAGCGGCGTTGTTGTTTATCTTACGTTTTAGCAAAAGTTGTGATTGCCATCACTTGACATTCAGTTATTCACTTTCAGGAGCTGAACTCTTAGAGCCTTGTGGAAGATGGAGATGTTTTCAGACTTCTGCCTGTGATTCATTTCCTAAGGCCATTCTCTTGGTACTCATTGATCATTCAGTTCTGCATCTAAGCACTGGGGTGTAGGTTAGTGGCCGAACACCCAGAACTTCCTTTGCTCCTTGGTACTAAAGAAAGAAGACAAAAATCCTGTATCTGAGGGCTGGAGAGAAGGCTCAGTGGTTAAGAACACTGACTGCTTTTCCAGAGGACCTGGGCTTGATTCCCAGCACCTTCATGGTGGCTCACAACCGTTTGTGACTCCAGTCCTTAGGAATCTGGCTTCTTCTGGCCACTTAGGCACTGCATACACATGGTGCACATACACACATCCAGGCAAAACACCCATATATATAAGAAAAAAATCCTGCTGTTAAGATCTTTCTCTCACAAGGTTCATGGCAAAATCTCTACTCTTAGCAAGTGAATCTGAACCCTCTGTGGGGTGCTCTTCCATTCAGCACTACAGAGATCTCTCCTGAGATGAGTTAATGCTCCATCACCAAAAGCAGTGTGGGACTTCCTGGATGTAGGTTTAGTAGAGGAAACAGGGAGGTGGGGGTGGGCTCTAGAACTTCCCCTGTGTGCCCTCACTGTTCCACGAACAGCTCCCCATCATACTCTGGAATATCAGTTTGCTTGTGAAAATATTCCATTTCACTTTTATGAAGACCCAGATCTCCCACATGGGAGCTTCCTCCAGGCATTTAGGAGGTTCAAACAATTATCCAGGTCGAAGATAATATGTGCTTCTGGACTTCTACGTCCAGAAGGACAATAAACAATGCATGAAGTTCTGTGCCATAATATCAGGATTCTTTTTCAAAATTGTAGCATGAATATTTACCCCCAAGAAGAAAGCGCTAACATAAAGACCTATATGCGGAACAGCAGGAAGATGATTCTATCAGGAAATATATTTATTAATTTGCAAGGGTAGAGATGAAAGAGACAGAAATGGGATTTTGAAACTTGCTAATAACAATTATAAATTCCAATAAAGATGCTATTTACAGGGAATAAAAGCACAGCCGCATCTCGTATTCTATTGTGTTGACTTTAATCAACAAACAGCTCTTCATTTAAAACAACACACTAAGCATAAGTCTGATCTGGTGACTCTGCTCACCAGAAGAACTAGTCTCCGACTCTCTTCTCAGCAGGGTGTGGAAGGATAATCTTCTCTGATGACTGGATGCTTGGCCGAGAGCCAAAATGAGCGCCCATGAGCACTCAAAGCAATTAGAAAAGGACCCATTCTGAATCAGCAGGTATCTGTGAATAGGGGATATATTAATCTGTCCTGATTGAAATGCTTAAACACAGGCTTGGAAGTGGAAAAGCCAGTGAGCAGGGGAGAAGACACTCAGAGTCAACTAAATGTCCAAGTACTCAGAACACACAGATATTCCCAGAAAATGCAGTTGATTAATACCTTATGGCTTTTCAGCTGTTGTTGCTTTTTTTTTTTAAACCGTTTTAAGAGAAAAGTTTGAGTGCTATAATTTTTGGTTTATGATTTTTAAATTTTAAGTAAAATCTAATTACATAATTTCTCCACTTCCCTTTCCTTTCTCCAGCCCCTCCCATGTGGCCCGACTCCCTCTCAAATTGATGGCCTTTTCTCCCTTTAATTATTATTGTTACATATACCTATATGTAAACACATGAATATGTAAATTCAACCTGGTGTGTGCATTTGGTGTTGCTTGTGTGAACATGATTTCGGGGCTGACCACTGTGTCTTGGATAACCAGTTGGGGTATCCCTGGCAGAGGCTAACTCTCACTCTGTGCAGTCATTAGTTGTCTGTAGTTCTTCGTCTGGAATTGAGACCCCTTGAGGTTTCTCCTTCTGCATTAGTCTGTCCACTGATGTCGCTGCTGATGCAGCCATATTGTTGAGATATCTGTTATCACACAAACTTGACTTTGTGAAAGTATGTGAATACAAATTTATGTCTCTTTGATATTCTGTATGCCTTTTTCTTAAGAGACTTTCTTCAGTTTTCAATTCAGACTGAAAAAAAATAAATAAATATAAGCAGAGACAGTTATATTTTAAAATTAAAAATTCTTCTTAAGGGCTTGACCGATGGCTCAGCAGGTAGGAGAGAGCACTTGCCGCTTTTACAGCGGACCTGTGCTTGGTTTCCAGTACCCACACGGTAGCTCACGATCATCTGTTACTCCAGGGTCAGGGATCCAGGTCCTAAACATACACATGGTGCACATACATGCTCATACTCGTGAGATAAAAATGAATGAAAAAAATTGAAAGTCCCTTTTATTCAAAGATATAACTTTCTTATGGCATTTTTATGGAGTTAAAGGTTTCTATGGAAACACTGGAGTATGTACAAACTCTCTTTTAAATAATAGTACTTCAGAGTTGGAACCAATGTAAGTCACTACTATAGACAACCATGTGATATAGATACAGGCCATTTGTTTTCAGAATTGTGGTCAAAGAGTCAGGACCTATTCCTCACTTTGTGGGTACAGTTACAAACAGCTTTGAGGGAGAGCGAGGCACGACCCAGACATTGTTATTTGTTTCACAAGTGCAATTAGCAATAAGTGTTTCCACCCGCAATTCATAAAGCCTTGGCATACTGTTTTAAGCAATAATAGTCAGGTAGATACTGGAAAGCTAATGAGATTACAGTATATTTCTGAAAGCTCTTTTTCTTGTAGTAACTTTGACTTCCTTGATTTTGAAAACATTTTGAGGTCAGATGTTGAAAACCAAAAACTCCCAGATTTTCTTTTTCTTCAAAAAAAGTTTTACTGTCATCAATTTATTTCCAGGATTTGCCATGTCTCCATGATGCAAAAGAACGTCTCAAAGTCTCTGAAAAACATTATCATGCTAGAAAAATGATCTCTGGTGGGAAGGCGTGTCTCACATCCAAAGGTTGACAGATAAAGGAGAAGCGACTTGTAAAAGTGCAATTAGAGGCCGTTGAGTCCACGGGGATCACCCTCCACCGAACCTTTCCTGTAGCTTCCTGCAAACACCCATCATTTAAATAATCACACTTCCATTTTTCTCACCCAGAGCATGAGATAGCCAGCAACCCACACCCACCCACTGGACAACAATACTGTATTTATGATGACCAGAAGGGGATTTCTCAGACTACTCCTAGAAATGTTAAGGTCATCTTCAGAGTTGGCAATCTGATTTGACTCCAGGATTTAGTCATAATTTCTGCAGTTCTGTGACTTGAAAGCTTTCCTGAAATGCGCTCTGCACATCTGCCTTCACTTGTTTTCTACTTCACCCCCTCTCACCCACCAGGCAAGATGAGCAGCAGTGTGGACCCGAGGCCACACCCCGAGTTTCTATATTCGCTCGATACCCGCTGACACAGGCCTTTTTCTAGTCTTTCAGCTTATGGTAAAAGCAAACACACTTCCTTCCCCAAGGTGTGAGGGCTTGTGCTATTCCTCCTCCTGACATTCCATTTCTTTTCCTCCTTTCTTCTTGAAAACTCTACCTCATTCTTTCTAGGTCTCAACTCCACATTTCGAGTCCAACTTTCAACTTCTTTCCTGCAGGAAACTTTGTCTTTGTTCCTGCTTTGTTTCAGTTGCATGTTTGTGTATGAGTGGACATGTGTATGACGATGGCTCTGTGCGTGCGTGCCTGTGTGTGTGTGTGTGTGTGTGTGTGTGTGTGTGTGCGCGCGCGCGCATGCCAGAGATAAACCACAAGTGTCATTCCTTAGGTATCATCAAACAACTTTATCTCTCATCCTTCTCTCTCCCTTCCTTCCTCCCTCCCTTCCTCCCCCCTCCCTCCCTCCCTCCCTCCCCCTCTCGCTGCTTCCTTCCTTTCTGTCCAGTGCTGAGGTAGAAGGATGACAGGTGGATCCCTGGGGCTGGCCAGCCAACCAGCCTTACCTAATTGGTAAATTCTAGGCCAATAAGGAAGAGACCTTGTCTATAAAATAAAGTAAAAATTTTAAAATGACACTAGAGGTTGACCTCTAACTTTCACATACAGGCACATACATGCACAATTGGGCATACGTAGGCAAAAATACCAAATGCACATGCACACACACACATGCATGTACACACTCATGTACAGAGCCTGGATAGACCTCCTAACACATTTGCATTTATAAAGAACATTTGGGGCCCCTTTAGAACTGCTCAGGGAGCAGGCCAGCAAATCTACCATGAAGCTGCTAAGCTCAAGACTGTGCCCATGAGCACCTGCTGTAACTGTTAAAAATGATAAGCAGCACTGGTTATTGTGTGGAAAGGTCATGAAGCATGAGCCATGACAAAACCCAGTATCAGAGCTTTATTGGGGGTGGGTGGGACAAAAGAACCAGGCCTGGGAGAGGAGCACGTGCAGAGAGGGAGGGAGATAGTGATAGTGGGGGCAGGAGAGAACAGAGAGAGGGGGAGGAGTCTGTGTCCGGCTTTTTAAGGGTTCCCACAGGTAGGTTTACGGAGCTATGCCACGCATGTGCTGATTGCATGACCATGCTGCTCGCATGTAATCTCCAGTGCACGCTGATGATATGAGAAGCAAGACGACCCCTTGCTTAGCTCTTGAACTGCGCATGTGCGGTCATACAGCTGAAGCAGCTGCAGAATCCTAACAAATCCCAACAGTAACTCCTCTCTAACCTGAAGAGTAATTCTAAGTATGACTTCCCAGAGTGTGAGGAACAAAGGGTTTTCTCAAGGGAGAATCTGACCATGAGCACGTGCTTCCTGTCTCCAGCTGGGAAGCCTGACTGTGGGAGTGGAATTCCTTTGATAGCACAGGTGTATCCACCGAAGTCAAGCATGGTGACTGGCATGAGGCAACTTCAGCATGGACTATCACCTCCAAATTGGGAAAGCTACGAGTTTACATTGTCCTCTTGTCCCCCTTGTCCTGGAAGTCCAGAGCTGAGTCCCCCTAAGGGGAAGCATGGAACTGGGTGAAGGGGGATGTGATGCCTTTGGTGCTCCCCAGCCTAGTAAACCTCTGTCAAAGGCTAAGGACACTGCGCATGGGGTGGCTCTGTCCAGCTTCTCCTTTCTCTTTTTGCTTTGGCAAAGAACTGAATGTATGCCTTTTGTGTCAAAGGAGGGATCAGGACACACAAAAACTCAGCTTCCATGCAAACCTGAAATTTTCCAGGTGGTTGAACATTGAATTATGTCCTCAAATCCCTGCCTGCTCACTTCAGTGTTTGAGCGTCAGAAATCAGCTTGCTGGTGCTCACGGTTCACTGATCATCACACCCTGTGAGACTGGGGCGTGAAAACAAGAGAACATTTGGGGATGAAATCACCTCTGCTTTCAATGATGATTGAGCTTCGTGTTGTCTTTTTGGGCTCACTGGGATTTGCGCTTGCTAGGACTCTTTTATTTACTTGACCTAGTTCAGTGCAGAAGTGTCTCTCAGCGCTCTGTGGATTTCCTTTGTCTCTGGTCTGTAAGTCATCTCCACTGGCAGGTGATCTCAGACCAGCCCTCCAGTCTGGACAAGCCCGATTCTTTCTCAGGGTTATTACTTCAATCATCAATGCTTTCTTCCAGCTTTTAGGTCATTTTCTGTCCCTTAGCTTTGGTGTCACGTTCAACATTATAAACCTGGTTGTCTCATTTGTTTTCTTGCCCAAGTTATTCGCTTTTCCTCTGGGATAGTTATTGACTCCATAAGCCCTTCCCCTGTTCCCGAATCTGAGCTTCTTGTTCTGCAATGTCTTCCGAGTTCCTCACACTGCACCAGCCATGTCTGGCTTCTTTCTATGGTACTCTTCTCCATGTCACTCACACATACACAGTTCTTTTCCCAGCTTCAAATCACTCATGGGCTCTTTTTCTTAAGCCTTCCATTCTTCACGGCCACTTTGCAGACTGTAGTACACAGCAGTGTGGCTTCCTTCCTACACACCCTTTGTCTAAATCTATTATAAGCTTCCACAACTGTGGTAATTCATGTTTATGTAAAAAGTGAAGAATGTTTTTTAAAAGTTTTAAATTTGCCAGTCTCATATGTGAAAAACAAAAATCAGATATTAGATGAATAGTTTGGATAATTTTGTTTTATTAACCTATAAATCATTTATACAGAACTTTATTTGCCTCTGTGTTCTATTGTCTCTACAGTTATTTGGGTAAATCATGACTTCACCGCCACCCAGTCACAGCCACAGTTTTCCAGATACAGTCTGGGCTACGGGTGCTTCTGTGACCGCAAGTCCAGTCCTGGTGGTTTAGACCAACACTTGGTACGCCAGGAAACTCTCTAATATCTGCTAAGCTGACAGGCAGAAATGAGAAAGGTAAGGACAGAGGAAAAAAGGAAGGGAAGAAGGAAGGGAGGGAAGGAAGGAAGGAGAGAAAGAGAGAAATGATATGTAGAAGAGAGAAGCAAAGAAATGGAAAGAAGAAGATAAAAGCCTGCAATGACAGAGAGAAAATTCTGCCTGGGAAAAGCTTTAAAAAATAATTCCTGGACATCGTGTGGTGCCTGTGGCGTGGGGACTTGTGCTGAGCTGACCAGCGTGGGCATCTCTGGGTTTGCTGGCTTCCAAGTCATGAGTGTACAAAGTATCATGCCCCTGAAGCTACGACACAGTGGGTACAATGTCTTCCCGGAAAGTTCAGTTACTTGGCAGTCTGATTTGGCATATATACATGGAGAACTGGGTGTTAAAATTTACATAGGAGGTCATTAACAAACTCCAGAGTTTGGCTACGTGCATTTCTGGTAGTGGACTAAGTGATGAGAATCAGCAAGATGTAGGGCCTCATCCTTCAGCTCAGAGGACAGGTGTTCAGCTTTGGAGGAACTGGACAAGGGGAACAATGCAGGGCTGATGTCAGAGATTTCTAAGGCTAGTGTTCTCTTTAGAGGTGCATGAGTGGAGAAAATG